TGATGTGTATTCATTTTCTCCCATAAATCGCCACTTTGAAGGTAAACAATTCATATTCCAATTTTAAATTACCTGAAAACTTTCAGCTTCCGACAGCAAATAGTAAAAACAGCCAAACCAATGAGCCAGAATCAATAATATATGAATTAAATTGACGACCCGCCACAAATTAGGCCACACGGTTCTACTTTCAACAATATAATAAAATCGTATAGAACGATATACCTAATGAAAAAAATAAGTATGAAAATCAATTTGCACACATTAGTGTTCAGCTGTTTATAATTATCTTAATGTTAATTTACCGAAAATTATTCAGTCAATATTAACGTATAATACATTAATATCCTATCACATAGATATTTTGCTTTCTAAGTCAAGAAACATCTATAAGGAGAGATAGGCGAACGGATTAATTTAGGCTGGAAATAGCGCTAAACAAATGGTAGCTGTGACGCGTCAAGATAAAAGCAGTCATAGTCCAAAGTTCTATTCTTTATCTTAATTTGAATCTATAGAAGTATAATAAGAATATGTAACCTTTCGGCCTGCGGGTTGAGCACAAGAAAACAATCCGATGGACAGACAAGTTAAGATCGATTCAAAAAATGGTTGTGAATCGATCATTATAATAAAATGAGGGTCTGGTTTAAGTGTTCGCTACACTCGTACAGACGCAACGTACCCCTGCAGTACAAGTGGTATAGGGTATAATGAATCAAATGCAATATTTCTATTTTAGGTCACAAACCTTGAAAGTGATTAAATGTCTAGGAAGTCCGAATGTTATTGCTTTTAAAAAAAATGCATCACACGTCATTTTTCCCGCTTTAGGGAACAAGTGTCATTTTTCATTAGGCGATTTATATCAACACATGTGCGAAGCCAGTCGGTGAGTTTTAGGGCATAAAGCATCTTGTTTGCACTTTCCTTTCATTTTCATATACATATTTACGAATAAACAATATTTCAAAAATGTTGCGGATTCCGTAATTATTTTTTTCAAATACGCTTTACCACTTTTTTAAACGCAGTGAGAATTGGTCCATAATTGGCGTTTGGCATAAGATTCGATTATATCAAACACTGACTACGTAGGTCTATTTTTCGGACCCTACCCATATAAGGGTACTTGAGAATGCTTTAAATTTTTTCATAAAATATGGATGTGCCTTTCTTTGATCCACAAAGTTTAATCTATGCTTTAGTAAAAGGTGCGTAGGGCACAACCAGCAACACATTGCAACGTTTTATTAATGCAGAAACACCAAGCCTTTAAAAAATGCATTCACAATTATGTTTCTTTCTCACATCGTGCAATCGCAAATGTGGTACAACAGATACAGATTGTAAATGGAATCAATTTGCGGACTGTCGTATAGGCAAAACGTCAACATCAACTAAATATCGCGGATCGACATTACTAACTTCAAACATAAATTTAAATACAGATTGGTTTACTAAAGCAAAATACGTCTTTTTCAAGACCCTTAAATTCCGTTTCCGCAATTACCTCATCGAAATCAAATAGTTTTTTTTTTAACGGAAAAGTGTAGCCAAAACACTTTTCGAGTCTCTGATAAATTGGAACGGTATTTATCCTCACCAAAAAGCAAAATTTAATCAACAGTTGAAATTTGCATTTTTCGGTGGTTTTGAAAATAACAAAGGTGGTCACGGTAAAACTATTATAACTCATAAACAAGTGGTCGAAGTGGCATGAAGTTTTGACAAGTGATCAGGCGTTAAGCTTGTTTTTTCTGATGAGATAAACTAAGACAAACGTTCATTGATGCACTACAAAAGACACTGCTTGACATTAGCCTTCACTTTGACAGTAAGAATACGCTAGTATTTTGCATAAAATATCTCAAATAGGACCACATCTTTATCTTTTTTCGTAGGATAAATTAGGGCAAGCAGTGAGGAGCATAAGATCAATCGGTCATTTCTGATTCCCTGACAGACCAAGTCAAGAAGAACCTGCGATAGGGCGTTTCAGATTAGGCGCTTTTCTTGAATTAACTGACTAAATTATTAGGACAGTTTTTTGTTTATAAATATTGATGAATGGACAAAGATAAGTTTGAAATACAAAGACCATCCTCGACCACCATCACTTAATTTTTTTGGATTGCAAACAGATCATAGCGTGCAGAATACCTTTATACAGGAAAGACAGCAATTAATATACTTACAAAGCATATTTATCACACATGAGCATACATTGGGTACAAAACTCATATATCCACGGCGTCCTTGGGTAAATGTCATTATTTTAGAAAACAGCCTGATCGTACTGAACAATTAAAGGATGGCGCGGGCGCATAAAACAACTGAATTTTTCCCTCTTCAAACTGCTTTAAGACCACGTAGGAAACATCTACTCACCGAATGTCGTGACACGTACGTTGACCATACTTCGGCCCGTCCAGGTCTGTTCTGTCTATTCACGCATCATACATTTACATTTGGTCGCTGCTCTATTTTTAGGGGCAATCTTGAAATAAACTTTCATGACTCAGCACATCTTTCTAGAAGACTTATACCGACCAAATAATGTGCGTATAAATGCCTACTATTATCACTAACTTTATGAACCAAAACTAAACCATTATCGCTAGAGTAGTCCATCAGTTTAACATGAAAAAACATGACAAAAAGTAAATTTACACCAATACGTCATCTGACCGTCATTCTGACCGTCCGCAATGCCGTTACCTATTATTTTAATTTCGATCGCTCTAGCTACGCACTAGAATAGAGCAGCATTCGAAATCTTTCAATGATGCAATTCAATTTCTTTTAAGAGCTTTGTGTAGTTTTTCTTTCGAAAAAAAACGTTGAGTTCTGCTGATTTACGTTAAGCCAGAAGGCTTGTAATTCATGTTGCGCCCTCGACTGGGCAGGAAGCTGGTTTGTATTCCCATTACCATTATACTTATGCAATTTGTTGGGGATTTAAAATACGCAAAACTTCCGGGTAACATATTCTCTATACGCGAATTACAACTTGCTTATTAAAACAAATACTTGTTTTAATTATATCAGACAGCATTTATATGGCTCGCAACATTTGATTTAAAACAAACAATTTTCTGAATAAATGACGCAAATTTTTGTTAAGAATATTTATATTTTCGTCGACACTGCTTATGAAACAATAACTTAAGTTTGCACTGCGTGAATAAAGACGGAGCTTTCCTCTTATAAAATAGGTATGTCACAAGCCTTTAACTCACGTTTACAGATAAAAAAGAATTAAAGTAAGATTTAAAGAAACAAATTAAAAAAACTTGAATCTAATAGCTCACGTTCGCCTATTTTCATGAAAACCAGAAAATATTTTAATTGAATTTTCTTGAAGCAAAAATGGTGGTCAAACAGTACAAGGTCTTGGCCATACGGCGGTGGATGTACCAAAGTTTCTAGAAAATTAGAAAACAACATCTTTCCAATTTATCAATTCTGCTCGCATTACTTCAATTGCTCGCTTTAATTGCAATCGTTGTTGAGAATGAAGAGTCTGGTCATGTTGGGGCGGCTTATGATTGCACTGTCAACACAAAGGCTTTGTATGGCGTCAACCCGAGTTTGGTTATTATTTGTGCAGCTTCACCCACCTTACATCCGTCCGTCCCATCGCCCTTCCCGCTATAGTTCCCAACCATGATTCGCAATTGAAAGTTTGGCCCATAAAGTTTTTCAATGCTAATTCACCCACTGTTCAAATATTGAACTTATTTTTTTATCCATTATCGCAACACCCAGAAAAAAGCTTCAGACACGCTAAAATATATACATACTCTAAATCAATTTGAACATGTCCGTTTGTTTGTATGTGTTATTACAATATGTGTACCAAACACTACCGCGCTCTCAAAAATGAAACTTTTACGTTTGAATTTGACAAAAATTTGAGAAGTTCTCGAGCGCAGATTGGTCAAAGGAAACACTGGCAGTGCAACATGAACTGAGGCCTCTACACTTCTGGGTATTTACTTTTTGCATATAGTCTTATGCAAATGGTTCAAAACTTTTTTCATTAACAGCGATGTTATTACTAGCAATATGATAATAATGTCTGTTTTAATTTTTTAAGGATTTCATAGACTTATCAACGAGCGGAATGCGTTTTTAAAATCAAAATATTCTGAACGGAAGCGGGTGCTGTAAATTTTGATATAAAGCATCTTCACCATAAATGTTACAAATTTTTTCACAAACCTGCGGAATCAGATTTTCTTCAGAATTCTAGATAATTTTTTTGCTGCAATTATTAGCATTGCCAAAATTACGTAACGCTAAAATCATCTATAGGCAAAAAGCTACGAATTCTTTCCTCTTTAAGAAACGCAAACTATTTCACAGAAATATTAATCGATTAATCTTTTTTTTTTGAGTAACAGAGTTCAGAAATAACTAAATAAATAAAAGACTTGCCATTACTAAACACCGTCAATATAATCATCAAAAATCAAGCAGAGAGCATAAAACGTCCGATGTGTCGGTGAGGATTATCAACTTCTCCACCAATTTGAATTAGCCCAGAATGTTACTTATATTATTAATTTCAATGTACGATAATTACGTTGAGTCAAGACAACGTTCTTAACATTTTTTTTTTCAACGTGTGCCTTGTAGCGTTTTTCATTTTACATGACATCCAAAAAAAAAAAAAAACGACCAGCTAAAGAATCGAATAGAAAATTATTTAATGGTATTCACTAATTTGTTTTAAATTTTCAGTTTGCATGCAAGCGAGCGACATCCTCTATTAAAAATTTATCGACATCAACGGTAGGAATATTTTGAGAGTTTTTCAATTTGGGCTTGCTGGCTAAAATCAAAGACATACAACAAATGCTCATTGCATTAGAAAAATGAGTCTCCGATACTTAATGAAATGTTAATTGGCCTAAAAATATGTCTAACGAACTGTTCGAGATTTTAATGGTTATAATTATTGACTTCATTTACTCTTTTTAGCAAAACTAATTGCAACATCTTTTTCATACTTTAAAAAATCTCGTAAACCGCAGTAATGGTTGTGATCCCATTTTTATTTGTAAAAGATCCAGCGGTATTAAGGTCATCAAATCTAGAATGAAATCTCTGGACCTTACATAGTGACAAGCAAGCTTTTTGTCATCATATACCTGCAAAGAATTAGAGAGATTCTAATTAAAACCCGCAAAATTAATAGTATTCCCAACTCTACTCACCATTAGACCTTGTTCCAGATACCCTGTTCGCAATTGTACTAATATATCAAATATGAAAACTATATCAGTACTGACATCGCACATCAACCAAAAGCTTGACACAGATTGCTGAGAAATAAATATGAATTTTTCACCGAGAAGTTAACTGTTGGAAATTATTTGATTTACCTCCAGTTCAGGAAAACTTTGTCGAACAATTAATGTCCACAGGTTATAAAGAACACATATTGTAAGGGCCATAAGCCAATAGAAATAAAAATTTTCATCAGGATTGACGACTGACCGGCGATTTTGCAAGTAACGCCGCCTCTTTTTAATGTTCATATCAACATCACCAGCAGTCCCCTCCGACCCGGTATCCTCGATCGTTTCCTAATTAAAAGTAGAAAAAAGACATAAAAATGAATGCGCAGGCTATGTACACAATTTTCGCACTTAACCAATTAACTTAAGGTTCCTCAGACATGACACAAACCACTATCATCAATGGAATGCATTCCATTTGGTTTCATTCTTTCGTTCTATCTAAAGAGAGTCCAATCGAGCCCAAACGCAATTGTTGATTGCTGAAAAAATGCAGTCAGGTCCAGAAAAGAAGCATTTAAAGCTCGGCATATTACTCAAAACGACTAAAACAATCTGCTTCGTAAACCGTCTAGAAGCAAGTTCAAACAGCTACACTGCTACTAAAAAGCTTAGCAAGAGCAGCGGTTATCAAAGTTTGTTGCCTCACCTAAAAGTTTCAAGGGGTTTGGTTTGTTCGTGCAAAGAACTAAAAGCGAGGCCAGTCTCTTTAAAAAAGATTGAATAGCATCCCATCAGCTTGAGAGAGCTAAAGTGTTGACGAAAATGTTTTCTTCCAACTTGCAAACTACAAAGCAATTAATCACTGCAGCCGCTTGAAAGGGAACTTGTCAGTCTCAATACTCGTGAAACTCCGGGGTCAGGCGACGTATCAGCTGTAGTTCTAAAAAAATACGCTGCTATAATGTCAGGTCGCAATCTCTTTAACAAGTGCCGGCATTTTCCCAAAGATATCAGATGACCACGGGCGACATTACCAATCTCTTCAAACGTCAAAAACTCCCATCACGATTGGGCACCGGCGTAGTGTAAGTTGCGTTGTGTTTATGTATAAGATTAAGTCCGCCGTCCTATATACCGCACGACATACTACCACAACTTATCGTTCTTCAACTGCATCAATTTTAAGTCGAATGAAAATACTACTCTACACTTTCCTCATCCCCTACCTATAATTCTTCCAGACCAACACTGTGGCCACGCGTGTGAACGATATCTCCTGAACACAAAAAAAGTCAGATATTCGATCATTACATAGCTGGTGTCCGTTTACTGCCCGTTCTTCGTAATATCCATTGGAAAACAAATATATTAAAAATAATAAGCAACTACATTCCTTAGGTTAGAAACACAAAAATTCCATAATAAATTCTAATTACATAAATGCCACACAGTTTTGAGGATATTTTCAGAAAGTTAGACGTTTACTGGTAAGTTTGCTTATTATTTTAAACGGAATTTGCTCTACTCTGATCGAGAAGCTATACTGTCTGAATCAATTAATTTCAACAAAAGATTATTTCGCCAAAATTTGATAAATATTAGGACTCATAAATATACAACTTAGTTCACTCGAATAGAACTCAGGAAAAGTTCTTTTCAAAGCATTGAATTATATCTCTTCAAGTTTTCATTAAGATAACCTCTGTTAAAACTTTGAAATTGAATCAAACTGTAGTAAGCGTTAAATGAAACTTTACGAATCATCATTTGTGTGATTTTCAGGCTACTGCCCACATTTAACAAAACTACATTTCTTATGAACTGTTTCCAGTAAAAGTAATTGCGCAAATGTTCTTAATGTGCTAGTTCTAAACAAATTTTCAATTGGTTAGATAAAGTAGAGTTCTAGAAAGTGTTATAGCACAAAAGCTGTTCCTACGAAGGCAGCGAAGTAAATATTAGATCTAAAGAGCCAGAAGATAAATTCACTTAATGGGAAGTCTTTTTTTCCAACAACAGAGCCTAAATTTGAAATTCAGGCGAAACTCCAATTGTTGGATTGAGTAAAATCGGCGGGCTTAACATTTCTCGTTATAAAAAAATTTTATTGACTACATCAATCCACATCACAACGCTGCAGAGAATTTACACGCTTTACAACTTTCTTTTTCTATTACATTGAAAATGTTATGTGGTTTCGAAAGCCTTGTTCAAATGTGCAGATATGAAGAAATTGATTGAGGCCGAGGGCTTGCTGTAAGTAATGACGCTGTGAAACAGTCAGTCAAAAACAATACGACTAAGCCGGTTAAGCCAGCCGAAATTTAATTGATATTCTTGAATAATATCATAACGAAAGTTGTTGCTTCGTGAAAGGATTAATTGGTAAACCAAATTTTTTGTCCTAGATTGAATTTTTAATATTAATATTTCAAGCACTACACGAGTTTAAAATGGTCTTTTCAATTTCGTTAAAAACAATTTCATTATGATAATAGAAAGGAAAAAGAAAACATTAAATTAAATTATACTAGTATATACTTCTCTATTTTCTACAAAAAATGTTAGAAGAAGAGTAAATGAACGACATATAAAAAAAGAAGACGTATAAAACAAGCACTCTTCGGGGTATTGGCATAACCCGGTAAAAGAAGTTTGGGACACCATATCTAAAGAAGTGGGTATGTCTAATAACTATAATGTAAAGAAGGTACAAGCGGTTGAGTTCGATATTTATACTTTCCAGGCGGACACCGTTAATGTAATTTTGACGATCAGCATCTGCTGCCGGAAAGTTTTCGCATATGACCAAAAGGACTTGGTCGGTTCTCTGTACGAAAAGCTGATCACGCAAAATTTTTGACTAACGTAACGAAAAGAAAAATTGAAAGAGAGAGGACGAAGATGAAGATTAATTCGCAAAACTTTTATGATAATTGGTGCAGTACCCATATTCATTGCCTATATGAGATTCCAATTTTGGGAAAGTCTCTTTGTGCTATTGACCATATGAACTGATAGCTTCTCGATAATTCTAGTGCGCTTCATTTTAGATTAGTTTCCGCTGAAGATTTTAGGACAAATTTCATTTGCGGTAATTTCGAGGCTTGTCAGGGAAATCATAATTGGCGCCAGAAAATATTTCGAACAAAAGTTGACCTTTTTCCGTTCTTCTAAATATCTCGACAAATACCGCAAATTTTCTTTCTTATTACCTTATTCTTTAAAGCCCCTATGAAAATGAAAGAGTATGCAATATGATGAATAAAACGATCTTTCGAAGATATGGATGGCGCAATTTTATTGCAATGTGAAAAAAGTTATATTCCCTAGAATGTTTTCTAAATAGCCAGCTTTACCGAGAATTGTAATAAAAAATGTGTTTCCTTTTCAACGATCGTAATTGATTTATTATTGATAACCCTAATGTACATATCTAACATATATAACATATGTAATAAATCTAAAAAATAAAATCGATATACATATATATATATATATCTAATATATACATATAGTTACAACCAAAAGATTTTTTTGTATACATTACTAATTTAAGTTCTTTTTAATTTTTGTTCACAAAGGGTACGTCTTTTATTTTATTTTATTTTACCCATTTGTACTTGATATTCAACTAAAGAAAATTACAGTCGAATTCAGTGCATCTTAATAGAAAATCTTATACTAATTGTTTTGAAACTAGTATAGAATAAAAAGGAAGAGAAAAAGAAGAATAATAATAACAAAGTAAGTTTAAAAATAAATTAAAAAGTTAAAAATAATAATTCATGTATAAATAAATAAAAAGGGAGAAAAAAAAGGAAAAAGAAGCATGTACACAGCTAGCACAGAGCACACTCGCAACAGATCCAGATTGCAAGTGAACCCTTAAACCATTGCAAACATGCATAAGCTTGGCAACCAACACGTTAACAACACAATATTACGACATAGGTAAATCGAGCATATTAAGCAAAGTTGCTTTATTTTGCTTCACTTTTGACGCGTCGTTACCAATAACAGTAGTAACGCTTTCATTGTCATTATATGTATGGGTACAGATTTATATCCTTATGTAATAGTTGCTCGATACGCCGTATCATTCTCTGAAACGTCTGCAAAGCACAACCATACACAATTTTGTATTTTTAAGTGATTATGGGCTACGCTATCCATATACAAAGGATGTAAGTATGTGGCAAATATAATATGTTTTCCTTTCATTGGTTTTTGGAAGAATTGAAGAATATTAAATTTAATGTCCATCAAATGCTCCGATTGATTTTGATGCAAGTTTTCATATGAACAAATATGAAGAAATTTTTTATTATTGAAAAAAATTATTTGTATAAATAATTTATCTTTATCTAATTTATTTGTTTTTAATTTGATTTACTGACACATATATATTTCATATCAGACATATTCTACAAAGCGCCAATTATTAGACATTAACAAGAACGCGCCAAGCTTCATCAAATAACGTTCGACGACTTTTATATCCTTAAAGACCTAACTTACGATCGATTGAATGGTTTCATTGAGGGATTTTTAGATCTTGACAACGGGTCGAACAAAAGTGAAATTGCGTCAACATGTTTATTTTTTATGGCCCGTAGTATAATCAGTAACTTGAAATTCGTTTTTAGTTTGTAAACCACCAACCTCAAAATTGAAAGTTCTATTTCACGAAAATTTAGATTTTGTTAGACGTTTGGGAATAAGAGTCAAGACTATTGTGGGTGAAGCAGGTACATCAAACATATCAACAACAAAACAAACAGAAGAAGATGCATAGATATGTTTTTCAGGGTATAATACGCTATATGCATATATCTCGAAGAAAATACCCTTTTAAACATGTTTTACTTTTATGATCAGGTGAGACTTCAGCAGGCAATCTGTAGGAAATTTTCAGATAACATAGCAATTATAGCGCAGAAAAGTCTTCTTTACAAAGAAATTTTTGAAATTTAAAATTACCATTTTGAAGTTACATATAAAATAAACAATTCAAATCGCTTCAGATAAGGTTAAGGACCAGTTTTTCACATTATATATATATTATAATTAATTTAGAGCCGATAGCCTGTGTTGCTAGTGCTCAATGTCTCTTTTTTTAGTCTAAGAATTCAATTCATTAGTCTAAAATTAAAATAATAATAATAATATAATTAATTTAGCAATAAAATTAAATTCCAAGACTAAAATTTTAAAACACCAGCATCTAGAGTTATCAGCTTTATTGAAAACTCTACCGCGCTTGAGATTAGGATCTCAGGACAGTTGCGTTGCTGACAGAGGCGATCTTTTCTGTCCTTTCTACTCGGCCGCTCAGGCGTATA